ACATATAATAATTAATAATAATAATAATAATAGTATCAACATCTTGGCACCTTACTAACCTTAAGTCTAAAGCTGGGCAAAAGGAAAAACTGACAGTAATTAAAGCTACACACTTAATTGGTGCTGGTGATCCATGCCTGTAAGCCTAGCTACTGAGGAGATTGAGATCCTAAGATCAAGGTTCAAAGCAGGACCAGGCAGGAGACACTTATCTTTAATTAACCATAAGAAATGCAGGAAGTAAAGATGTAACTTAAGTGGTAGAACACCAGCCTTGAGTAGAAAAATTGATTAGATATTTGAGTTTAGAGAGCAGTAGCATGGAAAGAAAGCAAAATTAGTAGTACTAGAGGCACACTGGAAAAGAAAACTGTTCATAAATCTGTTCATAATTTGTATTTTTCTTCATTGCTCCATGTAATAAATTGATCACTCTTGAATAAAATTCATTGGAACTGTTGATATTTCCTGTGAACCAACTTTGTGTTATTTACTGTAGATAAAGCACTAAGTTACAAGTAAGTCTTCAAACAAGAAAGAAATTTTAACATTGATAAGCACTATAGAAAAAATAAAAAGAGTCAATATAATGGTGTGAATTGATTGGAGGTCATGGTGTTTATGGAGATTAAAAAATAATTTTAAATTCCTGACAGATTTGCTAATGTTAGGATGATAAAGAGAGTGAAAGACCAAGGAAGACTCTCATTTTTAACAAAAACAACTGAAATTAGTGGCTGGAATAGGCTGAATATAAAATATATATGTGTGTATATGAAATATACATATTTCACATATATTTATATATACATATGTACATATATTTCATACATATGCATATATACACATGTATACTTCATATATACATATATACATGCATATGCATACATATTTCACATACATACATATATATATACATTTCATATATATACATATGTGAAAATTTACAAGTTTTTAGAAAAAATGTATCAAAAAAAGTAATCTACCAAAGGGGCGAGGAATCACAGAAGAAATTTAAAAAAATTTCTAGGCAAATGAAACTGAGATTCAACATACGAAAACTTAGGAGAAACATAGTAAATGTCCTGTTAAAGAAGAAATGTATTCCCTTAACACAATAAAAATAAGAACTACTTCAAATTAACAAAGTTTACAATTTAAGGAAGAAGAAAAAATAGAATAAAATAAATCTAAAATTAGTAGAGGGAAAGAAATAAGATCAGATCAGAGACAAATGAAAATCAATAGGAAAAAAAACCTAAAGATGGCTCTTTAAAAGAATACATAAGTTTATCGGGCTTCAGCTTCCTAAAGGAAAAGCTGAGGACAGGAAAGAGTGATGGCCAGCTAAAATTACTGATTGGATGTAACAATGAACACATTATAGCTAGTACTACAGAAAAATTATAAGTGAGTACTGTGAGCAAGCTTGTGAAAATAAATTTGAAAAACTAGGTAAATGGATACACAAAAATACACAACATACTAAGATTGAATCCCCCAAAAAATAGAAATTCTAAGTATAACTACAATGAGTAATAGAATTGAATCACAAATCAAATAAAAGCCTTGGACCCAAGAGTAGTTCGACACGGTTTTAGACAAGGGTCCAACTTCATTTTTCTCCAATGTCTTTCTTCAGTATTATTGGAGAAAACACTGAACATTCTCTACTGAGTTATCTTTGTATCTTTGTCAAAAGTCATTAAAATATGCAAAGGTTTATTTCTGGGTTCTGTTGTATGTCATTAGTGTGCTTATCTGTGTTTATGACCCTGCATCAGTGCTGTGTTTGAATTAGGAGGTGTGAATGATCCAATTCTGTTCTGCTTTCTCAGGTTTGGTCTGATCATTCAGGGTCATTTGAAATTCCACATGAATCACAGGGGACTTCTACATATCTACAATATTATTGAGATTTGTATTCAATGCCATGGAACTTACTGCACATAAAAATAATTTAAATGACCAGGTACTGGTGACTCAAGCCTATAATCCTACTTATTCAGAAGACTGAGATCTGAGGATCATGGTTTGATTCCAGTGCATACAAGAATGTTTCTAAGCCTCTTGTCTCCAATTAATCACTAAAAAGCAGAAAGAACTCTGGTCCAAGGGGAAGAGCACTAAGTCTGATCTCAGAGATCATGTCTAGGCCTTGTTGCCAAGCCCCAGGACAAAAAAATGTAATTGCAAGTTTTATATGATATGTGTAATATTTAATATATTACTAAGGAAAATTAGACATATTTTAGTCCCTGGAACCTATGAATGCTATTTCTGATGTGAATATTTGTGCACTCAAACAATCCTGAGATGGAAATTGTATCCCCCAAGTTAATGTTGTGAAAAACTTTTGATCAATGCTCTTAGGAAAGAGTCCCAAAGAATTAGCTCACCCCTTCTACCATGTGAGAACACAGAATCTGGAAAAAGGCCCTCACTAAACAGAAAATCCATCAGGATCTTAATATTTTCCAGCCTGCAAAACTATGAAATTTCTGTTACTTTGAATCTATCCACTGTATGGTATTTTTGCCATAGTAACCTGAAGTCTGAATGGATGAAGACATTGAAGAAAGAAAGAGAAGGGAGGGAATGAATGAAGGAAGAAGGAATGAAGGAAAGAATTTGTAAATATTAGTTAAGGGTGATGGCAAACTACCTGGGGTTTTACAGTAGGTTCCTATATACAGTGATGCATAACTTTATAAGTGGGAGAATGAGACAGATTTGACATAGAAGAGTCAGTGTCTCCAGAAATAATGTGGCTATAAAGACACAGAAACAGATTTGGGATTTCTTGTCTATAAGGAATATATTTATTGTTGTTTTTAACATCCAAGTCCATGGCAGTTGTTAGAAAGCCACAGGCCAGTAACACCATAACACTACCCTAAAACATGGGTAGGGGTAAAAGGGAAGAATGCATTTTTATCCTAGACTTCTGATTTTGGGCTTCTTTTTTCTGAAGTGTCTACAAGACATTTGACATTGTAATCATATAAATGAATGATTTATAATATAGTCATGTAAAGGTAAGATGAGATTCCCTAGGAAGGTGAAAGTAAGAAGGTGAAAAAGCAAGAAGGCCTGAGCCCAATCCTTACCCAATGGGAATATGTGGAGACTACAAGGAGTTTGAGGGCTATCAACAGAGACCAAGAGGGCATTGGGTGAAGGAAAGGAGACAACAAAGAAGCTGTCTAATGAGCTAAGAAGATGTCAGTGGATATTAATGCTGCCTATAGGTCAAGTAACATGCTGGACCTTGGTGACTATTAATTTATCATCAAAGAAAGGATTGCTGACCTAAAAACAAAAAACAAACAAACAAAAAACTCAATGCCTGTTCAGGGAGACAGAAAACCAAGTTGGATTGGTTGAAAGAATAGAAGGTAAGGAAGTGCAGGCACATGGTGCTGCCCTGTTTGTAAAAGCAGCTGGTTGGTTTAGCTACATTAATCAATCTCTTAAAACATAAAAGTTGCTCCACTTGAAGCATCTGTATTCTTTTAGAGCTTGGAAGAAATAAAGCATATCCAAATTCAGTAGTCAATAATGTTATTAAATTAATGTATCATCTAGTGTTCATTGTCTTCAAAAATTTAATATTGGATCATTAAAACAATTGAATCTGGAATGATCTACTCCATTAAAACACATTTAAAAATCCATGATATGTAAAGCAGATCAGATTGATATATTGGTAATTACAAACTAGTAACTATATCATATAATAAAAGATTTCTTTAGAATCTTTTTCCTCAAATTTCCCTACTCCTAGAAAATAAATCCTTAAGAAATTCTAATTCAGTACAAGGCTAAACTGTTTTCTATATTGCAGGTAGAATTACTTAGGATAGATTGTTTTTCATTAAACAAATTTCCTAATGGGACATTTATTACTCACTTGAGGAACAGCAACAAAGATATAATTTTTCTGATGGAGAAAATTCATGAGGGCTTCCCCTCCCCACACCTCCGGTCATGGGGCATAAACTCCAGGCCTGGGCATTGTCTCTGAGCTTTTTGCCCAAGTATAGCAGTCTACCACTTGAGCTATAGCTCCACTTCCAGCTTTTCTTTTTTTTTTGGTACTTAACTGGAGCTAAGAATTTCACAGGCTTTCCTACCTGGGCTGGCTTCAAATTGCAATCCTCAGATCTCAGCCTCCTGAGTAGTTAGGAATATAGGCATGAGCCACTGATGCAAAGTTTCTTGGGGGCATTTTAAATAGGTAATTCATATATAGTGTTTAAATTCTGAGAGAATGTTTTCTCCTTTCTTTTATCTGATCATATTTGACACTGGCATCCCTGACTAGCTTGAAACTTTAATATATAAGCAAATATATTTGGATAAATAAGTATTTTCTTTAATGTATTTAAAATAATAATTAAAATAATACATGACAATGAGTAATTTGACAATAATTAAAGTTAATAAAATAGCCTATTCTCACTTTCTCACAAAAAATATTTAAAGGACACTTTCTTCATCAGTGAGGTGCAGAAATAAAGCATTTTCCCATTGTAAGTGAAGTGTCTTTAGTATATGATTTTTTTTTCATACCAGAAGAGTTCCTAATTCTTAAATAATCTTTTTCCCATAAACATACACATGCACTGACACATAGCATTAATATATTTATGCACATATACATGTATATGAACTGAATGGATTAATGAATTATATCCTGTATATGTATATACCTGAAATAAAATAGGCCGAAGTAATCTATGGAGTTGTTATGTTATAAGTTAATAATTTATACCTTCCCTTACATAAAAATCCAACATACTGATAGACCAGATTGCTTTTGCTCCTGATACATCATTGGGAGAGAAGGCAAGAAACACTTAGTCTCTATCAGTGTAGTAAGAGGTGCTTCCTTGGAAAGTCCAGGAAATGAAACAGGCTGAATTCCTCCCCTCATAAAACGCCCAGGCCATAGAATGGGAATCATACTTGAACTGTCTGTCTGTAACTCAGGTTACCTAAATAGCTATGTGCCGGCTTTTCTTCTACAACTTTGATGCTCCTTGCTCCCGCAGGTATCACCAACACTTCCACATAACCTGTAAGAGTTAAGAAAACATGAAGTTAATCTGGAGTTCTTATAAAGTCTTTTTTGCTTAATTGACTTACCTTTTTAAACTCTGGTTTTAGTTACAACCATAATAATTCAATGGCTATGAAATAAAAACTTTTATTATAAAAATTGTGAAGCTAGGGGCCTGTGGCTCACGCCTGTAATCCTAGTTACTCAGGAGGCTGAGTTGTGAGGATATAAGTTCAGTCCATGAGACTCTCATCTCCAATTAACCACCAGAAAACTGGAAGTGGTCTGTGGCTTAAGTGGTAGAGCGCTAGCCTTGAGCTGAAGAATTCAGGGACAGTGACCAGGCCGAGAGTTCAAGCCCTATGACTGACAAAAATAAAAAATAATAAAAAAAACTGTGAAGATTTCAAGTGAAGATGCTTCTTGGAAAGACATTGCAATTAGAGCTCCTTTGAGGATGAATAGGTAATTGAATTTTACATAGACAAGCTCTTTGAAATTGTGAGGAGAGGAAAAAATTTTAAAAAAGTAAACTGAAAAAAAACACAATAAATAAATCACAGAAACAAAATAAGTAAACTCTAGTGAAGAAGATGGGAAGAATGCAGTAAAAAAATTCAATATATAGCCTACAAAATTTAAGAAAAGTGATGGGTTGGAAGAGATAGGTGAGAATGTTGAAATGGAAGACTTTGATGAACACATTGTATACAAAAACAAGAAGATTTTCTTCGTTGTTTCTAATGTAAGATATGATTTCTTATTTTTTGTACTTTTTCCCCTATCGTTTATCCCCTGTTATCACTGTATTTGATTTTGATACCCTGGGTATAGTATATACATTTATCTGAATTAGTGAAGGGAAAGGGAACAACAAAGTGGTGAGAAAAAGGACAAAGGGCAAACCAATGCAACAGTGATCCTCACAAGACAATATGTTGGAAATGAACTGTACTACTTTGGGGGAGGAGAGAAACCGGGAAAAAATGAGGGAGGGGGTAACAAGTTTGACGAGAAATGTACTTACTACCTTATTTATATAACTGTAACTCCTCTGTACATCACCTTGACATAAAATTAAATTTTAAAAAACTGCTTTATTGAACGGCAATTCCTTTGTACAACTACTTAAAGATAATAAAAATATATTTTTTTAAATGTGAATTGTAGAAGAAGACAAATAACCTCGTTTTTCTCTGGGAACTTTTTCAAGTGAGAAATTGCAGGAAAAGAAGGAAACAACTAGAAAGAATACAGTGAGTGAGGGCCAATCCCTAAAGTAGGTTAAGCTTGGGAAAGAGAGTTCAAGTTTTCTATGGAGAGAGAAACAAAAAGTTTAGAAAATGGAGCTAGAGACAAGTGAATGTCAGAATAAAATCTAGTATCATCTCCCAGCTGTCAGGCTATCAGACAGCTAAATACAGGACATAATTTTTATGACAAAATTTTACAGTAGGGTTTAGGGATATAATATTTAAGATAAGATAAAGTGTAGTAAGATGAGAGAAAGTTCAAGAAAGAGGCGATCAATGTTTCATTTAACAAACAGCAGTGGAAGAGCAGGTGCCAATTTAAATAGTTATATTCTAAAATTGCACTAAAATAATATTCTTTTAGTATTTTATGTAGATCCATATATCTGATATAAGTCTGATTTAAAGCTTTTTAAAAAAGCACAAGAGCTAATTCCAACTTTGTCTTCTATTTACAAATTACTCAATTCTTCAAAAATATTTAGTTTTCTTATGTAGTAGGTAGCCCCAGATGGTGGGAAAGACTGAAATTAAAGGCATGTGATTTCTGCATCATAGTTTCCATTCAAGAATGCTGCTTATTTAATTAACCAATGGATGGGTGTCAGTGGTTCATGCTTGTAAAACTAGCTACTCAGGAAGCTGAGATCTATGATCAAAGATTGAAGCCAGCTCAGGCAGGAAAGTCTATGAGCCTCCTTAACCACCAAAAAACTGAAAGTGGGGCTGTGGCTCAAATTTAGAGGGAAAAAGCTTAAGGAAAAGCACTTAGGTCCTGAGTTCAAGCTTCAGTAAGAGCACACGTACACACACGTGAGCACACACACACACACACACACACACACACTCTAATCATTGGGTTGTCTGTTCTCTGTAATATCTAACTCCTCTCAGTAGTGCCAAATATAAAAGTGCTGTGATTTGGTTTTGTGAGCTTTGGAAGTGAAAATAGAAACAAATTAGGATTTTTTACATGGAAATAAAGTAAGATGGCATTTGCCCTCTATGAGTTTATAATGAAAAAGAAAAAGAAGGCATATATTATGTAAATATGAGTTAAATAAAACTGAAAAAGATGTTAGAAAGATAATATATAAAAATACCATTAATTCATTGCCAAAGAATGTAAACTAGGATATTCGTACTCATAATTTTGTATGAATTTAGACTTTTCACATTTGAAAACCAGTGATATTAGCAGAATCACAGTGATCCTGTAAAGAGAACAAGTGGTGTAAACCAAAGGATGCTTCAGCAAAAGGAGTAAATGGACAAACTGTCTCTGGAGAATGTGTTAAGGTTTAGATCAATACAGAAAAAGATCACTATATATAGAAGACTGCTAGAAAAATGGAGTGGGAAAGTGTTAACAGGGTGTCCCTGCTAAGTAGAGTTTAAATACATTCTCAGGAGAATAAATTTATCTATTTGAAGTTACTAATTTGATAAGGAACTTGTTAACTTGTAAGACTTCTAAACACCTAGAACTCTAGAGAAAGGTCAGGATATCCATGAGCTTTTGAAAAATTTCCCTACAGTAACTTAAATCATGAGTTAAAATAGCTATGGAGAAAATGAGAAAGAAGTCAAGAATATGAACTTTGTGATAGTCATAGACTTCTAAGGACAAGACAGAAACTGGGTAAGAATATAGGACTAAAAAGACATATTCATAAGAAAGGGAGATTTGCTTTCATTTGATATTGGGGTCAACTGCTTATTTAATTGTAATAGAGAAATGTATTGCATTCAGAAGGTGACTGCCAATCTTTGAGCAAATACATTCAGTGATGTGTTTGGAGAAAATACCAAATATCAGCATGGTAAGAAAAAAAGAGCAGCTAGGACAAAGCAGAGACAGTATGTGAATATTCTCATTTAAGATTCACAGAGGCTTAAAACTGTATTGTATATTACAGCAATACACCTATCAATCTTTATGTTATATCTTGGCCAATTCTATACTATATGGTTGGGATGGTTTATAGGACAAGAAGGTTAGACTGTCTAAAAAATGGGTAAGATGGAGAAAATATTGTACCCAGACATGTGAAGAGAGAAAACCATTGGCTGGAGGTTAGATATTTTGTAACAAAACTATGTAGCACAATTGAGAATGTACATTTTAAAAAACAGAAGAGTGGCTATTGACTAGCTTAGAAGTTGGAACAAGAAGGCCATGACACCATTGTCACAACTTCATGTTTTATACAACACACAAGTTTGTCTTGCACAAAGCTTCTTATTTTACACTCAGATATATTATTCTGAATAAGCCATCTTTAAAACTAGTAACAATGTTCTTGGTACTAATAATGAATAAATGCTACTTTAACAAGTACAACACACCATTCAGTAAAACCATTACGCTATATAAATTATTCTATTTAACTATAATGATACCATACAGGTCACAATCCCTCATATGAAATTATGGACGTTAGATTTTCAAATCGAGGATACTGAGTTGGTAAACTCTATTCAAATATACTGCCCCCCAAAATAATACCCCATAAAACTCTGAAATCTGAAATATTTTGATTCTAAGCTTTTTAAACAAGAGGTATTTATTAACCTATATCATATTTCTCATTTCACATGTGAAAGTAATGGCAAAGAAAAATATGTTGGGGGCTGGGAAGGTGGCTCAGTGGTAGAGTGCTTGCCTTGCATGCCTGAGGCCCTGGGTTCGATTCCTCAGCACCACATAAGCAGAAAGAAAAAAGCTGGCTATGGCTCAAGTGGTAGAGCACTAACCTTGAGCTGAAGAGCTGAGGGACAGCGCCCAGACCCAGAGTTCAGGCCCCACGACTGGACCCCTCCCCCCCCAAAAAGAAAAGAAAAATATGTTGTTGTTGTTTTTTCTTTGCTGGTCCTACAGCTTGAACTCAGGGAGTGATCCCTGAGCTTTTGTTTCTCAAGGCAGGTACTCTACCACTTTAGACACAGCTCCACTTTCAGTTTTTTCTTTCTTTCATTTTTTTTGTGGGCCCTAATTGAAGATAAGAGTCTCATGGACTGTCCTGTCCAGGCTGGCATCAAATCATAATCCTCAGATTTGGTCACCTGAATAGCTAGGGTTATAGGTGCAAGCCATTGGTGCCCAATGGAAAAAATATATTTTAAACACTAAACATCAGTAATTATCTCCACTAAGATTTGAACTCAGCTCTGATTCCACTATTCACTTCCTACTGTGACATACCACTATTATCTTAAATAATGGAATTGGTGAGCTTGTGTCTCCACGACTTCTGTAACAATCAACCAAGCGCTGTCAGAACACATCTTCCTAACATAATGAATTTTTAAAAAATAGTTTTATGATCTTTAGTTATAGAAAGTGTTATCCAAAAGAGAAGTTTTCAAATACAATGTGTCATGATCATTATCACCCCTTTCAACATTCTTACCTATCCCTCTCAATCCAGCTCTTCCCTTACTTTTCTTAATTTTTGCATTATTTATTGGATTTTCTTTTTCACTTAACAAAGTAGACTTTACCAAGAAAAACACATTTGATCCATTCTTTCTTCTTGGTAGGTACTATAACTATATAGTTTCTTAATTGCCCAAATATAGTTTACTTTTTAGTCCTCTGAGAAATTTTTGTTTGGCTAAGCATGTTATATTTAATATATAATAGATGTAACTTAGATACAAGAGAACTTCTCAAGTTTATGTCCTAGCTCCAACAAAAATCTAAACAGAACACAGGAACTGAAAACCAGCCACATTTGTCAGTATATAACATGTAGCAACA